TTACAATATTCATGAAGCAATTTCTGAAATTTGATTGCAGACTATTTTAAGCTCTATGATCCAACTGACATCTTTTCATTCATTTTACTTCTTGTTAGAGGGTTGGATAGGGTTCTCCAACTCTGTCCCAGGTACTCCTGATACATTTCAATTTACAGATAAAATAAGCCAAGGTCGATTATGTTCACCACCATTGCCAAATTACGAAGTCCTTTCCTTGTTTAAATTTCATTGCATTAGAGTCAAAGGAGTTAATGGTGAAACAGAACTTATCCCACATTTGGCCAAGATGAGAAGGGAACTTACATAGGGAAAAAGCAAGACAACCAGGAAATCTAAAGAAGAAAACAGGAACTTGATGTTGAAGCATGAGAGTATCACTTCACAAGTAGGGAAGAAAGTCATTTAATATTAATGATGGAACAGAATAACTAAAAATGTGGGATAGACCTGAAAGAAAAAAGTTTCCATAGTAATAAGCCTGTATAATCTAGGTGATGTAGATTTGAATACACCTAATAAAATTTCTTTTTATAAGCTAAAAGGAAGTGGGGGAAAAAATCAGTGAAAATCTTTTTTTTAAAAAATAATTTATTGCCTTTCACGTCAATTTTGTTGTTCTCAATACAGTCACTTCTTTAGCCAAAAAAAAAAAAAAAAAGAGACTATAGTTTGATATAGGCATAATTGCGTGCTTCTAAAATTGGCACTATGGATGACATGTGAAGGCATCAGCTAATGCTCCAAATGGAGAGTTACATGTCTCACAGGGCTGTGACTCTCGGCTTCTTGGATTTAGATGACGTCAGCTAAACATCCAGCCTCACAACAGTGATATGCAATAGACGTCCCACACACTGTTAGCTCTGAAATGAGTATGAGTTCTACCCTTAAAACCACAGTTACATAGAGTCCCACTGCATTTCTCCTTCAAAGGTGTGCATCATTGGTTTGCCTCCAAAAGGTAACATTTAAATCTTAAACACTTCCCAAATTTTGGGCCTCTGCTTTTATTCTGACCATATCTTAATCATTCCGTAACATCATTTCAGTTGTATTAATGTAATCAACTGTGGTTATACATATTAAAAATGGGATTTCAGAACTTATTTTCCATAGGAGGAGGAAAATAACATAAGTTATGAAGATTTGAAAAACCAAATACTCTCAAACTGGCTATTGGTGATAGTTTTTATTTACTTTTATTTCTAGTCAGTGGGATTTCTTTTATAGAGGTCATGAAATACAAAAATGCACTTAAAATTTGTAGTAGAAAATTAACTTGATATTTTTAACAAACATTCCAAAAAAGTTATTAGGTAACATTTATTAATTACTTGCTATGTTTGAGCTCCTGATACCAATTTTTAGGATTATTATTGTTTCAGAAACTCAGCTACAATTTTTTCAGGTATGTTTTACTTGTTTTATATTTTCAGCTTCAAATTGCACCCCAAATTTAAAGAAGTGACACATTTGATAACACTGTTATTCTACTGCTTCCATCCAATAAATGTAATCAGTTTTAAAAAAAATTGTGTCAAATTCTTTAAATGGCACGGATACTTTAAAGTGCACTAATGAATTTTAAGGCTATATTAATAATAGATATTAACACAAAACAATAAAACTGACCACAGGAAAAATCACTTTCTGTAGTAGGGATAGATTTCAGCCACAGATATGAAAGAATACGAAGACTTGCATTAAGGCATAGGTGCAATTTACTTATCCAATTAAAATCTAAATGGCTTTTGGCAAAAATTTTATCTTAAATTTTGAAGTACTTAATGAAGTATACCAATTTGTATTATTTAGGCCACTAACTTAAAAAGTTTGAATTTAACAAGCAGCACAAGTCCGATGCTAAAAACAACTGCATTTGTTGAACAAGGGAGAGGCTGGGTGGAGGTCCTAGCAGATGTGCCTGAATCTGACAAAAGTCAGGAAGGCATGCTGACGCTTTGCACGTGCGGAGTGTGTTGTCGCCCCTCCTGTCTCTTAGTGAACAGGAGCTAGGGTATGAGAGGAGTAGAGATAAATGAGTTTGGGTAGGGGGTCACCAGGGACTGAAAGAGATTACAGTGGTTTGAGGGTATTTGAAGGGAGCCATGGGCCATATATTATTTGGGTGGTAGGATTGAAAGATAAAGGCTCAACTGGGGCCTAGGGACTCAATAGACGGTAGGTGTTACAGGACAGAGAATCTCCTGACAGGCACCACTGAATCCTGATACCACAGTCAAGAAAGTTCAATTAAAGATATCAGGTTGTAACCTGGCTGGTGTTTAATTATCTTTGATTGTTTTCCCTGTCTGCTCTACCTTTAGGAAACAATAGCACCTATCTGAAAATCAAGGTGGTGGCAAAAGGATGTTGCTTGTACCAAAGGTTTGAGCCCTCCTGTTAATCCCACATGCAGAGGTTCCTAGTCAGGGAACTGCTAGGATTCATTATGAAAAGAATGTTTCACGTTATTCCAAAATGTATAAACATCCCAACAAACCACCAAATCTTACATACCATCTAATTTATTTTTCTTTAGATAATTATGACCATTCATCATTGCCAAGATATTGCTTCTTACTTTTCACAATGGCATAATTAAGTTCCTTTGTGCAGCAACATGCATCAACATGGATAGTGTTTACAAAAAAACCCAAAAAACAGGACAAACATGATCAACTGAGTTATTTCATTTAAATCCCTCAAGTTTTACAACTAGGCCATCCAAATATTAACACATCTTTTTTGGATGTCTTACAGACATCTCGTAACATTTTATTTTTATTATAATAAGATTAATTTTCTTTTATGTGTTTTGGCAAGATATTTATTTGGCTAATTAAGCAGGAGTAAACCTATCCTGCAAAAGATGATTTTCTTTTAAAATGATGCACTTCTATATAATCTTTTTTTTTCCTCCAAGAAAAAGATCTGAAATATACTGTCTCTATGATCTCATTCACAGAAAATACATTAACATTTTATTACAAATATGTTATAAAAAACAAATTTAAAAAGTTATGGAAATGTTAACACAAAGTGACAACAATTTATGTAAAGGCTCTTCACTGATGCTTTATATTAGAGAAGTAAAACCAATCTGGATTTCAATAGGGAACTAATTAAATTACAGTCCCACAGTGGGATATGTAGTAATTTACAAAAGAATGAGGTAAATCTATTTAAACTCTTATGGAAAGGTGTCTACCAATACACAACAAAATAAAAAATAGTCACAGGACAGTAAGAATGCTATTACTCTATTTGTATAAAACTAATATACACACAGACACGCACACACATAAATACTTATTTGTATATTTGTAGAATGTGTCTGGAAGGACACATATCAAATTATTAACAGTGGCTACCCCTAGAAAATAAAGGGTGGGTTAAGCAGAAAAATTGGCATTTTATAATTCTATATGGTTTGATTTTTAATAAAAGCTATATATTAAATTTACAATAAAAACATGTAAAAATGACAGGCTTTGGATAGAAAGATATTTATTTTATGTGTATGTTTCTTTCTCTCAAGTAGTTTTTAGAATTCATCCCAAAAGTCAGTACTATTGTTTTACCTTCAATGTTGGCACTAATGTACAAATAGAATCCTTTTTCTTTCCTTCTCTTTTTAAGATCTTAATGCCATATAGTTAAAAAAAAAAAAAAGATCACAAACAATTACTTTGTCACCAATAAGAAAAAGGCCTAATCTATAACAACTTTTAAAGAGGAAAAACATATACATTAGTTTTTTAAAAAATCTGAAGGAAAATCCTGGACAACAGTGCACGAAGCGTTGATGAAACAGCCTTCTCTGGTAACAGATCCCACCTGGTAACTGGCAAATTGGAACACTTCCAAATAATATAAAAATATCTCCCAAATATAAGTTATTCAAAGAAAGAAATAAAAATCCCTGAGTAGGCCAAAGGCAACAGATACCATAACCTAAGAAAATAGATTATCTAAGACCAGAGAGGATATTTAGCCAGTTGATATATATGTATGTGGCATATGTATTCATATGCATCGATGGAAATATTATATATGTATACATATATATCATACATAAATATATGGACAATATATATACATATGTTTCTATGGAAATAGTATATCTGCATACATAAACATATCTGCTAGATTTAGAATTATCATCTTTACATATTGTCAAACTAACACCTAAGTCTGGGAAAGACAAATTTACAAAAATTAAGCACTTTATGACAGGATTACATGGATTTAGGATGGAAATTCTCAATCTCTCGGTTTTAATACTAGAGCATGTAGAAGAGGCACTCAATAAATATTTGTCGGATGGATAGATGGATGGATGATGGACACATGATTTTGTGAAACTGCAGCACATCACTTTTTCCTGTATCATGTTATGCATTAGTAACATGCCATTACAGAACCATAACAGCATACTCTCCTGTAACTGGAGATAGTCCAGTCCAGAAGCTACAGTATAGCTATTCTGAATGTCATTCGGAAAGAATGGAAATGTGCTGGCCTCTCATCCATGCAAGTAAACTTCGTTGTCATGGACTTTTTAGGTCAAATAAAAATCACAAATGTTCGTATGCCTTGGAGCCCAACAAGACAAACTATCCATGTTAATGCATGTGTTTTCACATAATTTATTTCAGTTCACACAAGGTTGCTGTTAAATTAATGCTACATTATGCAGCGTTATTCAGATAGCTAACTTTAAAAACCTGGAAACAGGTTGAAACTTCAGGCTTCTTAGGGGTCTCTACTTCCTTTCTGCTGATGAACTTTTGTGATGAAGGCAAAGGAATAACATAATTTAGTTACTTGTCCTTTTCTTATTTTTAAAGATGTCTCGATTTGGTATAACTTCCTGAAAAATTTCCTTCATTTTTATTTTTATTTTTGTTTCCTTCTCCAAAAGCAGTTTATATTTTAGATCAACCCATAAACAAAAAAAAAGTTTTGTTTTAAAATTACCTCTTGCTAAGAAGATATCAACACATTATTATGCAGATGAGCAGTAAACATGAGAAAAATCCTTCAAAACTAGTGAAACTTGGGGGCAAATTAAAACGAGAGAAAGAGATAAGGGGGTGGGGTGGTAAATAATACCACACCTTGACCTAAAGCAGAATTATCTATAGTTACAACTTGCTTAAAAATGAGAATAGGGATCTGTTTAGAGGCCTAAGCAATTTTCTCTACAGCAAACCTGCTATTTCAATTACCTGCTTCTGCCTGGAGAATGTATTCATATCGTGAAGCACGTGTGCCCAAACAGAGGAAATCTGAAAAGACTGAATGTCCGGGTCTGGACAATTTCCTAAAATCAGTCAATCAGTTTTGTCAGTTTATAAAGTTTGACAATCCTTGGGGTGACAAGGCACACATCTGTGTGTGTGTGTGTGTGTGTGTGTGTGACAAAGAGAGAGCAAGACATAGAAAGGGTCAACAGTGAAATAGCCTGTTGTCTATATTGACTTTAATTCAGTACATTCTCAAGTTACGCCCACAAAGGAACCATCATCTTTAAATATATCTGTGAAAATGTGAAAGTACAGTGTAGAGGCATGGGACTTTGCAAGCACAAGGTCATTGGATCGAGTTTTAATACAGGTATTCATACACACATGTTCATACCCCTACACATATATACTTCAGTTAACACATGATTCTTTTCATTCATTTAGTTTCATTAGTTCCCTTTGGGCACTGAGATTTGAACAATCAGAGCATCTGAAGAATGAAGGAATTATACTGCTTGGGCCACAGGTGAAGAGGGGCATAAGATGAGCCTTGATCTTCTGAAAAGTGGCCTTGCTCGTTGGTACAGGTGGACCTTCAGCTGTTCTGTCTCACAGGTGGGCTGGAGGAGGGTTCAGGTACAAAGACAGTCCAAGCTATTCTCGCGAGAGGCCTGCTCAGACAGTTCTGAGGATAACTGGTTCTTATTTAAAACAATTTCTTCCAAGACCCATCAAGAAGGTCAGAATTGTGATATGGATGTTTATAGTGTATGAAAATGACCATTTTAAAAAAGCAGCACTCAGTATAAGGAAAGGACAGGATACCGTGTTGGGAGTGCGACGGAGCTAGAGGCTTTGTGACCTGCAGAGAACCACGGGGACACGAGATTGCAGAAGGTTCCGCCCCATGTGTTTCGAGACACGACTCTCTGATGGGTGTGCCATTCTGTGCAGCTCCTGACCGGACCAGCTTAGTTAGATGAAATCCTCTGCGTTTCACCAGTGCATACCTGTCCGTGATCGTTTTCTCTGTTTTTTACAAAGGCAATAGATAGGAAATACAAATAAACCTACAGGTTAAAAAAAAAAAAAAAAAATTAAGCTCAACATGAGGAGAGGCATTTAGGCTTATATAATAGCTGAAAATTTTCCATTTTGCAAATGATTTAAAAATAATCATAACTTAGCAATACATAAAAATGAAAAGAGGGAAGACATCTATGCTACAAAATGTATTTACTTCTACAAGAGTTCATTCTTTATTACTTTTCTTTAGCTTTCTTCCCTTGTTAACAACCTCAGTGATATGGGTTTAAAAATGGAATAATCTTTTCTATCAAAATATCAAACCTTAGGTTTAAGTCTTCTTTATTAGCTCTAGTTAAATCGTATGAACACTATGATATTCACACTTCAGTTTAGGCAGAATAACATATCACTTAACAACATGTGGAGACAAATATCAGGTTTCATCTCCAGCTCTACCACTTATGATTGGCCTTGGAAGCCTTAATTTTCTTAACCATAAAATGCAGATAATAATATCTACTACATAAAGTTAGACTCATTGTAATAACTTAAATGTCAGTTACTTTATAATTCTACCTCTTATACATGCAAATGACTTGCTAAATAGTACTTGACACAGGAGAAGTTATTTTATTTAGAAAAAATTATTCCATCCACTATGTGAAATAATCATCAGAGATGCCTTTATCTATAGCATTTAGTATTCTCTAAAGCAAGATTCTCAACGTGTGGTCTCTGGATTAGCAGCATTGGAATCACGTGAGAAATGTTTAGAACTAGAAATTCATGGACCCTGCCCCCACACTGAATCAGAAACTGTGGGGCAGATCAGCAACCTGTGCAGTAAACAGCCTCCAGGTTATTCTGAAGCATGCTTGATTCTGAGAAACCACTGCTTTTAAAAATATATTTTAATATATTTGTGTGAATAAAACTGTAGAAATCACTGATACATTTTCTATTTGTCAGTGCTCAGGTATATGTTGGGTATATGTTCTCATCACATCAAAGGTATCTTTTTCCACCCAGGGCACCCTTTCCTAGAACAAACCAAACACCCACGGGTGTACCAGAGCTTCTTCTTTGATGTTCCAACTGGACTCAGAATTGAAAAGTCTGGGATCTAGGCCACTGGACTCATTCGCTATAATACTAGCTGTATTGATATTGCTATTCAAAGGGAGTTAATGATGCTTCATAAGATACATAGACTGAACAAGTGTCACACAAATACATCCTGTATGATATACAAGCCTCTGAATCTGTAAATCATATGTTAATGGCCTATCTAAAGCAAGCATAGAACAGATATCATGTCCACTTAATAACAGATTCACATTATTACATTTACACTCATACTCTCTCTATGGCACTCAAAGAATTCTAATCTCAGATATGTTAAGTGTTTCTTACCAATTACAACTGCTATGGCCCCTAGTGCTAATCCCAGGACCAGGATTAGAGGTGCAACAAATAATTTTCCAGCTGGAAAACAAAAGGCGAAACTGTTTAGAGTCTTAAAACAAATTTACCCAACAATTTCAGCAAGGTTTTTCAATACTACAGTGTATGTTGTTTTTTTAAATAAGAAGTCTGATTATAATTAAGGCAATGTTTCCCTAAGGAAATGTGTCGGGTGTACAATTATATACATATGTAGGTTTAGTAACTTCTCTGAAGTATTGGGCACATTAGTCGAACATCTCATAAATCATTTTTCTTTTATAAGCAAAGAAACCCCAAAGCTACTGGCTCACTTTTTTCTACCAGGACCATTCATCTTTGGGCTTTTCCTTTATATCTCTTCCATTTTCAATTTTAAAGATTCTAGAAGATTAAGAGGAGAGTGTAACACATACTGAGTTGTGTCTCAAAAATATAATTAGCTGACAAAATGCAAAACTAGCAGGTGCAGTAGAGGGTTTTAGTCCAAGCGCACATCTGGAAAAGGAATTTATTTATTTCCTGGGTCTAAAGAAAACTAACAATATGAACACCTAATAAACAACTACAAATGAGATGTTTCAGTACTACTGACAGAAACAACTACCAATAAACATACAGTATAGTGAAAGTTATTCAAGCAAATTATTTTACAAATTTAAAAAGAAAACACTCTATAATATTCTAAGGCAAAATGCTGATAAGGGTGCCAAAAGGCATCAACCAACCTTTTTTTTTTCAAAATAAATAATTGAGTACTGATTATAATAAACCTAGATACATGCAAACATACTTCACAACAGGAATTCCGCTAACTTTGAAAGGCACTAGCACACACAAAAAAGCTTAATTGTTAATATAGTGTCATTATGCAGTAATGATCTTAAGGCTTGTGACACATTAGTGTAGCTGTGAGCCCAAACTCAAGAGAGATGAGGAAGGAATGGAAGGACTTTGCAGTAGAATTACTTAGCTGTTTAAGAATAAACCAGCAATACTATTCTACAAATGAAGGACAGTAATTTGGAATAACCAATTACATAAAAATAATAGAAACATAATGGAGCCAGAAAAAAATGTCAACATTTTTATTCTTAAGAAATGGTCTTTGGAACCATTTAGAACCATGACTGGACAGATAGAAAATACAGTTTTTAACATCTAATTTTAAAGAATTGCCATTCAATTGACACATTGTCTAATCCTGGGTTTTACTTATATTTTCCACCTATGACAGAATCCAATTAAGTAACATTAAATCTCATTGAACAATTACATTTTGTACATTCTTAAAGCTATGTTAAACTGTTTAGAATACATTAGCTTGCAGGTTTTAAAATAATCTTTTTCTTTTCTGTACATGTAGTTCAGGATGTTCATTCATGTTTCCTTTTACAAGTTATTAGCTTATTTTCATAACAGCAATGACACATGACTGCAAAGTAACAGCACTGATTTTTTTTTTTCAAACATCACAGAACTCCGAGACCCAGATACCTGCTTTCCCTCTCTGGGAAGAAATGAACTTATTGCAATCAGGCAATCAATGTTCAACACATGTTTCAAGTCTACTTTTGAAACTGTCGTGAGGAATTAAGCATGCACTCTTTTATTCCTAGATCATTAACAATTCTTTTAAAATACTATTCTCAACAGTTAATATAGTACTTTATCATATCTATTTATTAGATCTTATTTATTCTTATACTTAATTTTTCCCCTTTTCTTGCTATTTTAAATTATACTTGCAAATACCATTATTGGCTTATCTAAATACAACATTTTAAAATGTCCTCACAGCCCTGTCTGGGGTGGCTTTGTTGGTTGGGCATTGTCCCATGCACTGAAAGGTTGCCAGTTGAATTCCTGGTCAGGGCACATGCCCGGGTTAAGGGCTCGATCCCAGGTAGGGGGTGTGCAGGAGGCAGCTGATCAATGTTTCCCTCTCTCTCTCTCCCCAAAAATAAAAAAAATATTAAAAAAAATAAATTAATAAATAAAATGTCCTTCACATCACTATCAAATTTCTTTGCAAAAGTATTGCACAAAATTTCCAGTGCATTCAGTAGAGTATGAAAGTCCAGCATTGAGTATTAACTTGGCAAAATATTTGCTAATCAAGTCTAGACAAAACAAACAAATAACATATTTCATTTTAAATTATATATCTCTGACTACTAATAATTGAATATTTTTAAACATGTTTACTGGCTATTTTTATGTCTTCAATTCTAGTTCCAGACTTCTTTGTCATTAAAAAAAATATATGTATTATTGGAGGGGGCACCATTATATTTATTCATATAAATAATTTGCAATCTAGAAATCAATTAAAGATCTATATTTTCTTTGCCATTATATGCTTTAATTTAATGCTGTAAATAATTGCATGGGATAATATGAGAATGAAGCATTTTTTCTCATTTTTATTCCCAAAATCATTAATTGAAAAATCTGCCTGCTCTTTACCAGGGAGATGCTTCCATGACAGAGGCTGCTAATCGTCCACAAATCTCTGGTCTCCACTGTTCTCTAGAAGCAGAACCTCTGATCTGTAGGTGGGCATGGGGTCACACATGACGCAGAGCATGGTTCCCACCCTCCAGCTGCGAGAGAAGAGCCCCTTCTCTGCTTCCGTCCAAGAACATCTGGAGGCTGTGGTCCCAAACTGAGGGATCAAACTGGGTTACAGAGGGCGGCAGGGCTTTGCTATGATCAATCCGTCTTCCCTTGTATATGGCAGGGCAAACATGAGTTTGTGACTGACAGAGTACCCCGTTTCCCTGCCTTCTGTGCAGACGGGAGAAGTGGGAAGCACTCCGCGGAGAGCTATGGTGCTAAAGGAGACAGAGGCAGCTGTGCCGGAGGGGACACAATACGTGTGGGAGGGAGAGCTTATCTCACCAGCTGCCGCCTGCTTCGCCGGGTGTGTTCTGACACGTGCACACACACAGGGTAGAAAACCGTTCACAGGAAGCTGGCCATAACAATTTCAGATAAAAAACAGAAAAGAAGGTACAGAGAAAGCATTTCCCTGTTGACAATGTCTATAGGGTGTCCATTTTACAAGCTGTTAAAGAACTCGACTCTTCTATGACCTGAGAAGCAGATTCTAGTGAATGGAAGGAAATATTTTGCCATGAAATGGCATTGAAAAGTAGGAAAGGGAATAACTAACAATACAGAAAATTTAGGATTTTGTGTTTTTAGGTTGTTCTCTGTATGTATAGACTTACAAAGAGGTTACAGCTCAAACTTAATTTGCAATTGGTTTTTTCATGGTATTACTCTTATAAAAATAGGGGTTCGATCCCCTGGCTATCCCTCCTAAGTCTATTTAACTAAATAAGTAAATAATGGTTATATAATTATAGTATATAACATTATAAGCAAATAAACAAAATCACTAAAAATTATGAAAAGCAATCTTAACTATATTGAATTGTGTTGGCTATGAAAAATTACATTTAAATTTCAATAAGGATATAAAAGACTTTGGAAAATGATGGCACTGGTCTCCATAAGTTAAAGTGAGTTTTAGAATTCAGTTCTCTCTTTCACCTGATAGAAACACATCATCAGCACCAGACTTGGTCTGCTTAACCGTTCTACTATTCTGCAGAGGGATGTGGTTTGCAATAGCAGTGATGGATGGCTAGAGACATAAAGAGATTGTCATGAAGTAACTAGGCAAAAGGAGGTAGAGAAGGGGAAATGTGGAAGATGTTAAAAAGTATTGCATATACATGGGAAGGACTACCACGGAAAGACATAATAGACTTCTTTGTGATGAAAAGAGGAAGAAATCCCACAGTGGGTACATTCCAGAGGAGTACAGTGCTCTTGAAACAGCTATTAGTTCGGAAGAACACTGTCTCACACAAAGTGGTGGCATTAGGCCAGAGCAGCAATCTGGGCTTATGTTTGCAGTGTGTGTGTATGATATTATGCGTTGTTGAAGATGAAGAGGGAGGGAAAAGGTCAACCCTGAAAAGCACCACACTTGGATATCTAAACTTGGGTTTGCATGCTCTGAGGACATTTGAATTTCAGTACATTAACTGTTAGCTACTAATATTAACTGTTAATACAACAGAAAATATATACAATGACTTATCAACTATGCAGATACAGTAGAACTAACTCCATTACAAGGCTCTGAAACATATGTGTTTTTTTGTTTGTTTATTTGTTGTTTTTTGTTTAATTTTTTTTTTTTATTGTCACCCGAGGACATTTTTGCATGTATCTTCAGATAAAGCAGGAGGGAGAGAAGAGAGAAGAGAGAGAGAGAGAAACATCGATGTGAGAGAGACACATCAACTGGTGTCACCCAGACGACCCCAACCGGGACAGGGACAAAATGCAATCGAGGTGCATGACCTTAGTGGGAACCGAACCTGGGACTCTCTGGTTCGTGGGCCGACACTCTAACTGCTGAGCCAAACCAGCAGGGCTGTTTGTTTGTTTGTTTTTTTATTGTATAGCACAACCTCATGAATGAACAGAGGGCATGTATAAGATTTGCTGCTAGGTATTGTCAATATAAACATAAATGTGACATTGTTTCTATCAAGTGCCTTACAATAAGGTTCCAGAAATATAAAAGATTAATGACTTCACATTTCTGCAGTGTAATTAATAATTTTTTTTTGCTCATATAAGTAGGGTCCCACTAATAAACTTAAGTTTTTAATGTCAAACTCAAAGGGAGAGAAAACATCTCTTGCCTGTATTGGGGTAAAGGCCCCAACAGAACAGCTGACAGGTGATTCTATTTCTAAGTTCCATTCTCACTGCTTACTTCCCAGAGAAGATTCCTCAAAGTCGTTTCGGATACTCACCACAGACCGACCCTCGCACTAATCTCCTTAGATGAGGTCTCTCTGGGAGGTAGCGATATTTGCATCCAAATATACTGAGGTTTGATGTGTGATCTCCAAAGAAACGGAGCTGGCGGTATCTCTCCCCACATCGATAACAAAAATTAGTGTTACATTGTGAACAGGTCATGTGGTCACATCCTTCAGTTCTCTGGATGTGGATCTGTATCCGCAAAAGAGGGAAAGGTAAGGAAAGGCGATTAAAACTTTGAACAAGTAAGCCTGGCAAATGTTACGGAACAACACTTACAAGTTTCTCCAATATAAGCTTTACATAGCATTCCTGAGGCTGTCAATTTGCTTGTGATCATGTTCTCCAAGATCGTACTTGTGTCAAATACTTCATGTGTGCAAAGCTCAATGACATTTCAGGTACTCATGCAGTTGGCTGAAAATGATTAGTATATAAACGAACACATCCCAAAGAAAATTCACATATATTTCTAGACATACACCTAACTCAGTGGTGAGGAGGCATTTTAAAATGCTAAGAAAGTGGATTTTGTTTATGCTCTGATCAACAAGGTGCCTTGGGGAATAAGAGATCAAGAGTATTCCTTAAAAGCAAGTCTAACGTTTTGTGACTAAACAGCAAGGATAGGAAGCTCTCTTTGAGGAAGGAAATGATAGGAGCTATAAGCGTACTGACAATACCATTTTCGTTTCCAACTCTAATATCATTTGCAAATAGGTTTATAGAACTGTTTGTACAATTCTGTGTGTGCAACTAAGTACCTTCCGCAATTGTTGCCATTAGGTTACATGTAAACACAGTTTCACCCTTAATGCAACAAGGATTTTATTCTTGAACAGCCCACTGTATACCCAATGTGGTAGTCACTGTCTCAGGCACTAACACCATGTTGTAGTCAAGATTTTACTCTTTGAGATATAATTGGATGCTTGATGCAAATCCTCATGGACACTCACAAACTGGAGGCATCTGTCACTCCAGTATGTGCACACTTAATTTCTTAGGTGAGCATCTGTGAAACAGAACTAGTATTTCATTTTTAAAAAAGGTTTAGTAGCACTGTCCACCTCTCATGTGATTGAAACAGGATCAACTAAAAACAGTCTTCACGTTCCACTACCAAGTAGGTGCTTCCTGCCTTGAAGCCACATCTTACTTATTCTTACCATATACATATTCAATATTTTTAAACACACACACAACTTCTTTGTTTAGAAAATGTATTTAAAATGTTCTCAATATCATTTTGACTACTGAGAGTGTCTAGTCATGACTTTGCTTTGGCACGAGTGTTCCATGGATATTTTAATGCAACTGAAAACTGCACAATTAACGTGAGTCAAACCCTCCAGTGGTTGTTTGACTCTTTTCAGTTAAGCCTTGGCTACAGTCCACACCTTTACATATTTCATTTGAAGTTAGGCTCGCCTTCCCCAATGCACAGTGTAGCTCCCTGAGCTTCTGTATCACTGCAGTAATATTACATTTTCCAAAAACTGGACAATGATTATGGAAATGGGACAAAAACATTCAGGAAAGAGATCTTTAATGTAAAAAGAGAAATTAAAAGGTTGAGAGGAAAAGAATATTATACATTTCAAAATATAACCTTTTTTATAGGTTTGGCAAATAAAAATTTTGAAGTTGCTAATTCCAACTCACCTGCAGTATTTATATTAAATAACTAAAATTTTAAACTTTGATTCAAAGAAACAATAAGAATTTTTAAAGGACTTCTGAGGCTGCTTTTAAAATAAGCAAAGATATTAACCATAGTAATGATGAAAGTTTCATTTGAGCAATATACATATTTGTGCATCTGTATGTGTATCTATCTGTGTATCTGTGTATGTATCTATCTATGCATCTATGAATCTATGTATGTATGTATCCATCCATCCATCCATCCATCCATCCATCCATCCATCCACTTACTTACTTACTTACTTACTTACCTACCTACCTACCTACCTACCTATCTGCCTATTTATCTGCCTATCAGTCTATCTACCTCTCTGGAAAGCTTCTTGGCGATGGTGACAATATTGAAGAAGCAGTAACTAAGCAGAGGGCAGCACATCACAGGCAGCATGATGACTGGCACACAGCAGGCACTCAATGCCTGATAAGTGAATGAACCGGGAAAGAAACATGCACTGAGTTTCTGGCAGGATGTTAGGTATGCAAGATCATTAGGCTGATTGTGAGTTAGATGTCCATTGCCCCCAGTGGCTAATTGATTCTCCGCAGTAAGCCTCGGCCACATAGGGAGCTTGAAAGAACCTGGGTTTTGATTTTAAGAAGCCGTCTGTTTAAATTCTGCCTCCACTAGCTGCATAAAAAAAGTTACTTGACCTCTCCCAAGTCTCAGTTTTGATGATATTATTTAACATGAGAATAAAAATGTGACAATACATGTATAGTGCTTAACCCATTGTTTGGCACATACTGAGCCAGATCAATGTAATATGGGTTCCCATCTCTTCCCCTTTACCCACCTAAAAATGTAAGAAACCAAGTATCTGGACAATGGAACTGCGCACGTCCTGAATGCCAGGTGGTCCCCTCCCTCACTTCTCACATGGGTCATTCTTAGGTGAATGCTGAACTAGAGAACACCTTCCTACACAGGGAAGGGCTAGCTTGTGGTTAATAAGGGCATATGAACATCTGTGGTCAAGGGTTACTAAAAAATCACTATTTGGTCAATATAGGCAAAACTTACTTCTTCTGCTATTGGCCAACTCATCCTTTTAAGATTATATTGAAATTTTTTTCTTTTACCTGACAGTCTAGTCAGAGCAGAGCCAGGTTTTATGGGGCCTGAAGGTTATCTAATCTGAGGGGCCCTCTTCAAGGAGAAGAATGTACATTACAACACACACGAGACACTGGCCTAAGACGGGGCTTGTGCAGGTGAGGGTGTCTGACGCTTAAGCCTCTTTGCTTCCTGGTAAACCCGCAGCCCAGTCTTTCCCTGCTTCTGGGAACGACTCTGAAGAATGATTGCTGTGCCCATATCCACTTAGCACAGTGGACGGCGGTCAGGAAAAATGTAGGCCAAAGGTCTTGCTGAAACCTGGAACCCTTTCTGATCCTTCTTTAAACTACCTACGCATGTTCAAAGAGAACTGCTGGGCAGCCCAAATAAAGGTTACTTTATCACACACTCAACTTTTTAATTGTAGGTTGTATTTGATCTGCAAATGGAGACAATAAAGCTTGACTTTTCCTGATCACAAAGCATAGTGCTGTATTGGACTTAAAAAGAGAAAAGGAGTATTATTTGTTTAGAGCCCATTATGAGCCAAGCATTGTAAACAGATTATCACCTTTAAGCCTCATAACCCTACGGTACAGTGAGATTGGCATTTTTCCTCCTAACCAGAGCTGAGAAAAGTCAGCTGCTGGAGTGAAAGGAGAAAGGATTTTGATTCACGTCTGTTTCTTTATTGTGCTAAGCAGCCTCTCATTATAAACTCAAAGGTAAAATTAGAGGTCAATCATATTCTTAGTTAAATGACAGCATAATCTTTACATCAGGCAGACAAACATGTTTCCTCTCCCGTAGTAGGCAAATCTGAGTCTGTCTGCTTGTTTTAGCTTTCCAGGAGGATCAATTCATTTCTTCCTTTAAAACAGTACCAGAATTTTTTCTGACAGGAAGGTTGTTTTAATAAGTTAAACTTGTCACTGACAGTTCATTTGCCTCAAAATGTCTCCTGCAATTTTCACTGTCATTTTACATCTGCGTATAATATTACTTCATTGGGTTTCAAAGTCTTTATGAGGCAAATTTACTTTTTTATTTAAATCATGAAGATGGCAATTTATAGTTTCTGAACAGTCTTTCCTTATTTCTAAAAGAATATTTTGAACACAGCAGGCAACTAAAATATTGTTGGTCTAATACTTCTACACAGGAGGTGATCAAATTCCAAGCTCTGGCAATATTCTGTAGCAATCCTGTATACTGCAGGATTATTTAGTTCGATAGATTAATTTGCATCCTTCACACACATAAAGGTAATGACTTAATCATGAAAAAATTATTTCATAATTTGCCAACTGTTAAATACACAGCACTTCCTTTAACACTGCTGTGAATGTATCTTGATTATATGTGAATATATCATAACTTGATATTAACAGAAAAAATGAATTGATACAATGCAAGTTACTGTGCAACAGGAGATATTACTTTTCACATGCTAAGCAAGTTGTAATTTTGGACTCCTGATACCCATGGGGTAATACATTTTATATGCTAAATGAGTTCCCTGTATATTTCGTTGAAGGGCTCACTTTGGCAATGCCATCTTGTTTTTAAAACAGAGCCTTAAAATGTAGGCTTAAATTATACTTACAGCCCTGGCCAGTTTGGCTCAGCGGTTAGAGCGTCCGCCTGCGGTCTCGAGAGACCCGGGTTCGGTTCCCGCTAAGGGCACGTACTTCGGTTGCAGTTTGTCCCCGGCCCTGGTTGGTCGTGCGGGTGGCAGCCACTCGATGTGTCCCTTCACATCGATGTTTCTCACTCTCTCTCCCTTCCTCTCTCTCCCTCTCACTCTATCTGTGCAAAAAATGGAAAAATATCCTCAGGTGAGGATAAAAAAAAAAAAAAAAAAAAAAAAAATTATACTTACATAAATTTCATTTTATTTCTCAACGAAATTCTGATTTATTATAGTTTCAAAACATTCATCAATTTAGCGCTACCAAAGGAAAAAAAGAAAGATAAGAGGAGAAAAGAACCACCCAGTGGCTATAATTTAGAATCAAAATTTTGTTTTTACTTAAGAGATGGAAAAAAAGAAGAACGGACGAGATATTCCCAATCCAGTAGCTGGAACTGACTACTCATAAACCACAAATGCCATTGGGTTTGTTATTATTCACAGTTTCCTTTCTTCGTCTATAACAAATAAGGATGGATAATAAGGAGTTGAATATTTAAACACTAAATGTTACTTATACCTCTTTACACTTACAAGTCATGAGATGAATGTTCAGAAGATGCCAGATATTTCTTTAATGAGAGTTTTTGACATTAAGTCTACAATGTAGTAGACATGGAGCATTTTTGAGCCTATGCTATTCTTCATAGGACATATCAACAGCTGTAAATAAGTAATTATTCATAGAAAACATATGCTCCTATAATTTAATTCTTATTATTGCCTGGCAACCAA